CGTCAAAGAAACACTTTTTGGTTTTATCATAGTTTGTTTATATGTAGACGACTTACTGATCATGACTAAAGAGGTTAGTCTAATCAATGAGGTCAAATGCATGTTGAGTTGTAACTTCGACATAAAAGATTTGGGGTTAGCCGCGTTATCCTTGGAATGAGGATTTTAAGACAAGACGAAGACAGTGTTCTGACTCAGTCTCACTATGTGGAAAGATATTGAGAAAATTTAATGCCTACGGAAACACTCAAGTGAAAATCCCAATGGACCTCAACGTACAGTTGAGCAATAATAGGGGAGATCCCGTAGCTCAACAAAAGTATGTCAAAATTATTGGAAGTCTAATATACTTAAAAAATTGTACAAGGCCTGACTTGACTTACTCTGTAAATAAGCTGAGTTGATACACTAGCAACCCCAGTCATGAACATTGGAAAGCGCTAGTAAGGGTCTTAAATTATTTTAAGTTTACTCTCAATTTTGCCATCACTACGTGAAATATTCAACAGTACTAGAAGGGTACTATGATGCCAATTGGATATCTGGTGTAAAAGGCTCACTGTCTACAAGTGGATATGTATTTACAATTTGAGAAGGAACTGTTTTGTGAAAATCTACAAAACAGACATGCATTGCACGGTTCACAATCAAATCGGAGTTTATCACATTGGACAAACTTGACGAGAAAGCCGAATGAGTTAGAAACTTCATGGATGATATTTCATATTGGAGTAAACCAGTACCTCTCGTGATTATTCACTGCGATAGCCAAGCTGCAATTACAAAGGTTAAGAATAGAATTTACAACGTTAAATCTCGACATATCTGATGTAGACATAACATTGTAAGACATTTGATCACCAGTGGAATTTTGACTATTAAATATGTAAAGTCAATAGAAAATCTAGCGGATCCGCTAACCAAAGGGTTGTAAAGAGATCAAATATACAAACTGCTAAATGAAATGAGCTTGAAATCCACAAGATAAAGAAAATTACATTGGTAATCCAACCAAATCATTTGGAAATCCCAAGTCTTTGTTCAATAGGAAAACTAAGTTGTGACAGTCTGGAACGAACACTCAATTACAGTTTCCTGAAAAGAAATGAGTGTTACAATGTGCAAAGGTGGTAAGGTTAAGTCAATGGCTCATAATGATCCTAAATGTGTGAGTTAGATACCTTGAGATACGATTACCTATATAAGTGTGAAGTGTGGGCCGCTAAAAATGACACACTTATGAATCCAAAGACGAGATCCATGGTCGAAGAAGATCAAAATGTGAGAATAAAGTTAAGGTTGAGATAACGACACGTCAATATTATTAACTAATTAGGGTGTGTTTGTTTGGGGGTTTGGATTTTGGATTGAGATTTGAATAGTAAAAATTTTGAATTTGAATAGTTGTATGATGTGATATAAATAGGGTTTGATGTGATGTTTTGAATGTAAAATTGATTTTTAGTATAATATAAAAAATGAAAAATAGGTGTTTGATTTGATGTTTTTGGGGGGAAAAAATTGGATGAATAGTGGAAATCCTCCAAAATCCTTCAAACAAACACACCCTAAGTGTACATAGAGGTGGAAAAGTTCAATGCATCACGTCCATTGGGCCTCCAGTACACTCTGTAATGTTGACTCTGGAATGTTCAAAGCCACAAACTACCTGTTTTGATGTGTCAATATCTCACAGGGATTGAGCTAGGCTTATGTTCCTTTATGGACATTTCTATTCATGTGATTGTTGGATTAATCGGTGAAATTTGATATTAGAACATTCAATTTGGAATTTACGCAATCGATTAATCGGTGAGTGAAAATGTGACAGGCTGGTGAACCAAATTAAGTGGATTAATTTGGATGCAATAAGTAAATATTACTCCATCCGTCCCATATCTATCTATCCATTTGCTTTTTGCACGGAGTTTTAGAAATATTAGTATTATATTAGAATGTAGTAGAAATAAAGGTCAAAAAACTAAACTAACCTTATTAGTATTGTATGATATAAAGGTGACATTTGTGTAATATATAGTAAATTGGAAGAGTATTTGTAATGTTAGGTAGATAGTACAACTACTAAAAAAATAAAATGAATACTTTGTTATGGGACGGACCAAAATGGAAAAATGGATAGATTGTTAAGAGACGGATGATGTATTTATTTTTTGTATTTGACTTGGTTAATATTTTGGCTATTTTATCTGTCTTAAGACAAATCAAATTGTGCAACCCTAAGTTAAACCCATAAATATGACCTAACTCGCAGTATTATCTGAATAGAATCTTATCTGTTGAATGAATTTATTATAATATCAAACGAAATGTTTGAAATTAAAATAAATAAGAATCGTTTCAAACGGAATGTTTGAAATTAGAATAAATTATGACCGTCTCAAACGAAAGGTTTAAAATTAGAATCAATTATGATCACTTTAAATAGAAAGTTTGCAATTAGAATAAATTACATCATTAATTAAAGTCGTAATTATGATCGTAATTGATTTTCTGCCATTTTGGCCGAGTGGATACATCTATATAAAAGGGTCTCTCTACTTCATTAAAAACACACCAACAACATCCTCTCCTCATCCTCTCCTCTTCTCTAGCTTTTCGGCAACCTCTCAAACTCAGTTTTTCCTCCGTCTTTGTTTGTTGGAGTTCCGGCAATCTGGAGTGTCATTCTCGTCGGAGTATGAAACCGTTTTATCTTTGGGTTAGAACGCTGACCACCCGAAGCACTACCGGGACACATTTAATTTTTTTAAAAAATAATTCATCCTTGACTCATTTTTACGATATATTTATTTCTTGCAACAGAAATTTTAGTAACAAATGTAAGATCTAATCCAATGACGTACAGATTTTGTGAAGCACTCACTACAAAAAAATAATATATTTGTAACGGAATTCCGTCCCTAAAGTTCACGTAGCTAATGTAATTCCGTTCCTAATTCCGTCTCTAATGTCATTAGTATTTAGAGACAAAAAAATTTTGTTACAAAAATGATTTTTTCTTGTAGTGACTTGTCAAACATAATTGCCATATCTTCGGGGCGCGTGATATTATAAAAAAGGGTTGGTGCATAGAAAAATCTAATTTCATTTTAAACTATCATAAATTAAATTTAAAATATGAACAAAATCACAATTTATTTTTATATATGGATCAATCTCAATTTAATTGTTTGTTTTTGTTTGTTATGACTTTTTAGGTGATAATGTTGATAGTATTTTTTATATTTTCTCTTTATTATTATTATTATTATTATTATTATTATTATTATTATTATTATTTTTTTATTTCTCACGATTTTATAAATTATAAATAAATATTGATTGGGGATATTGATTTTAGTAGGGTTTATCCAACGCAAGCTTTTAGGGCTATTCAAATAGGAGTATTTTTTTTTGTAACATGACTTGTTCAATGGGCCATCAATTTAATTTAGCTGGCAATATTTGTCAAAGCTTTTTTGTTTTTTTGTTTTTTTTTTCCCTAAATGAATTTTCGGCATACGTAGAAAAATCTCTTTTGAATTTTTCTTATTTTCACAAAAAACATGCTTACTTTTCAAACCTCATTCAATCGATTTTGAATGTTAACATCTGTATGTCTTTTCGTCATAATATTAGACCTACAATACAACAAAGAATTACTACTCCGTCCTTTCCATGAAATTACCCTCCGTCCCGTTTTTTTGTGGCACGTCATTTAAGAAATATTGTGTTAGATAGTTAATTAATTTAATTAATAGATGCAATAAAATATTATATTAAATAATTTTTATTTAATAAAATGTTAAATTAAAAATTCAAATATTTTTTATTTTAATTTTTAAATATTAAATATTTTATTTATTGATATTAATAATAATTGTATTTATTGTAAATCAATATATGCATTTAGATAAAATTTTTTTTAATAACTTAAATGTAATTTATATAATAAAAATTGTAATAAAAAAAATTATATAAACAATACATAAAATTTTTCGAATTTGGCTGTTGTTATACAAAAAACATACGTACGGTACAAAATTTTTGGTATGATATTGTACCGTATTTTGATATACCGAATTTGCGAATAAAAAATACTGAATTCGGTAAATAACATACATAGTCGTAAAAAAAATACCAAAAAAATTTCAAAATTTCGATACAATATGATTTTTTTTTTTTTTTATGATAACGTATACAATAAAATATTTTTAGTGTATAAAGATAATTTTAAAAAATTGGTATTTTTTATATATACCGATTATTTGATACAATATTGATATATTTTTTAATAAATTAAAAAAATTTAGTACGGTATGAATATATTTCGATATTTTCGGTATACTATCTCAAACTATCTCTAACTGAATTGTATACACGGTATTAGAATATAATATTTTAACTCAAATATCGAAATTAAAAATAAGTATAATTTTACTTTATAAATAAGTCCTATGTTTTATTATTTTTGAACAAAGAAAAAAAAATCAATATCAAATCTCATTTTTAATTAATTTTTCAAACATAGATTTCTAAATCAAACATCAAATTTTTATTATATATTATATTAAAATTTAATTTTAAAATTAAATGAATTTTTATTTATATAATATTAAATATTTATTATTTTTATCTTTTAAAGTTTTAGTCTAATTTTTAAATTTTTAATTAACAAATAATAAAATTAAAAATATTAATAAATTAATAAAATATAATTAATTTTTTTAATTAAAAGTATTAATTATTAAATATTACTATAGTAAAAAAATAAATTAATTTTATGAGACGGCTAAAAAGGAAAAAAATGAACGAATTTCGTCGGTGTCCGGAAAATAATAAATACTCCTATACATTAGCTATCCGCCATCGCCTATCTGTCACACCAACTGATTTAATGAATTTGACTTTAAAGTATAAAAAGTGGGACCGATGAAATAAATTGCTTTTAAAATTATTTATAGCAGCAGAACAGACTACTGTGAATAGAGCAAGTATTTATATATATAAGAGGAGACAATGAATAGACGCAAACCGATGCAAGTGAGGTGAGTCAAGCAGTTGTGCACGCGCCGCGCTGGGGCTGCCATTTTCGTGGGGTCTCTCAACGCATAAACCCCACAACCGCCACCGCTGTGAGATTTTTTCCGGCGAGGAACGGCGCCGTGCCAATGGACACTCCCGGAGTTCAGACCAGCAGCACCGCGTCGGGTCGGTCGTCTGTGGTCGGGTCGTTACGTGCGTTCACGCTGTCCGGCGTGCGTGTCGACAAGGAGGAACTGCGGAAGAAGATTATGTTTCCTGAGTATCTTAGGATGGCCATGCGAGAGGCGATTCGGGCCAAGGATGTCGGTGCGGCCGCCGTGGTCCAGTTGTACGAGAAGAGTCGCTACGGCGGAGCGGAGGCGGTGGAGTCTGCTGAGTGGCCAATAGTGGTGTTTATTAACTCCAAGAGCGGTGGGCGCCACGGAGCCAAGCTCAAGTCCCGACTGCAGGAACTAATGGGCGAAGAACAGGTAACTGAACGCATGTTTTGCTCAGAGGCTCATATATCGAACTTTACGCATTCGTGCTCCAAGTAAAATAGCAATTTTCTTCCTCAGAGTAAGATTGGTTGTTTACTGAAAATTGGTGAAGTGTGCGCTCATACTTCATAAGCTTAGCGCTGATTTTGCAAGATCAGAAATACAGAATCCCATACCATCGTAGCCTGCCTTTATCAATCTTCTCTGAGGGAGAGAAAATACCATAGGGTATAATAGTAGGTACCCATAAAGAAGAGTTCTGAAAGCATGTTTTGGACTTGTTACCGTCAGACATATTTAAACCTCGCAATTCAGGATTGAACGTTTTGACCTTTGTGAGAAAAGTCCGTTGGTTGGGTGGGCGAGAATGCAAGGATGGATGCAATTGACAATTTGAGATGAATGAATGAAATCTTTTTTGTTCTAGAACAAAAAGAAAAAGGGATTTATCCAACTGGTTCTAGATATACAGTTAGATTGGAATTTGATTTTTATATTTTTATTTATTTATATCTATTTTTTTAGGCATGAAGTGCCTAAAATATTCAGTGTTCTTTTGGAATTTGGTATCCGTGATTTACCATTTCGATTCTCTATAATATAGTATGCTATTTCCTTCCCAAGACATCACATCCATCGTACCAAAAACAAAATAAAAAAATCCAAAAGAACACATCAATGAATAGTTTCTGTTGTAGAATGTGCCATATTCATTTTCTCAAAGGTGATGAAAGTAATCGTTCTTGAGTTGGGGAGTGCTATTCTTGCCTATTCCTACATTTGGTAGTGGAAATTTGTATATTCCATTATTCCCTGCCTGCTGGATAACAAATACTTGAATATTTTTTAAACTTATAGTTTTTGTTCTGTCATATATTCTCTCATATATATCGGGTTTGATCAAGGGAAGGACTTGGTGAAAGCAGCTTACTAAATTGCATCCATTTTGGAGCCTCTATTTCTCTTCTTCTTTATTTATTTATTTTATTTTAATCAATCTCTGCCGTAATCATTAATGTAGTAGGCATCTAATTCTGCACTGCTCCTTTTTTTTTCTAGATAGAATTCTATGGATATGAATCCAAGGAATACCCCAAGAAGGTTTTATGCTTGATCTTGGTGATATAAATATTAGTGGTCCAGTCATGAAACTTTTCTCATTATTGTTGTTGCCATTGAATATGTCACTCAAGTAATCTCAAATGTTAAATAATGGACAATGTATTTCATATTATCAAGACAAGGTTGAATAATTGGTGTTATAATCATATTACAATTTGAGTCGGTCTTGCATAATAATTTCAAAGGATAAATATAGTAAACTAAAATAATTTTCATTCATTTTCAGATTTATGTTTCTCTCTATGTACATATGTTATGCAGTTGTACCATTACTTTTGTTTGCAGTAAATTGCAACTAACAATCAGTATAAATTTTGTTTTCCATTCTGAAATACTACCAGGTTTTTGACCTTTTAGTAGTGAAGCCTCATGAATTTGTTCAGTATGGATTAACTTGCCTGGAGAATTTTGCTAGTTTTGGGGACAACTGTGCAAAAATGACCCGTGAAAAGCTTAGGATTGTGGTACATCTCATACTGGATTTCTTTCTATTATACCAATTTCAACTATGTTCTTGAAAGAAATGCAATGATTGTGCTTGTACTTATGGTCTGGTGAAATGGACAATTTGAAGCATCTAGTCTTTGACAGGTGGCTGGAGGTGACGGTACTGTTGGTTGGGTCCTTGGTTGCCTTGAGGAGCTTAATAAGCAGGACAGACTGCCTATTCCACCCACTGGAATTATTCCACTTGGAACAGGAAATGACTTATCAAGGAGTTTTGGTTGGGTATACTTTCATCTTGATCAACTTCAAATTTCATCCTGTCCATTTGGTTGATTACATCCTGTTTTTTGCAGGGAGGCTCATTCCCTTTTAATTGGAAATCATCTGTTAAAAGAACTCTAGAAAAAATTGCCTGTGGATCTATTGCTCAGCTTGATAGGTGAGTGTACAGTGTTACCCTGAGTGTGCTTTCTTCTTATGCTTTTGTTGTTGTTGTTATCACCTTTACTTCAATAATTATTTCTGGAATTGATCAAAACAATATAAAATTTATATGTAGAGTTGTTATCCCAATTTTCTTTGAGAGAATTTGTTCCCACAATTGCTCTCAGAATAAGTATAGGACTGGATGTGGTAGGTTTCTTATGTTACTGAAAAAGGATTTACATAAATTTTGTGCTCTGTTTGCTACAGAAATTATCTTAATGTTAGTTTCTTTTGCATAATTGAACACGAGTGGTTAATTCTCTGAGTGCAGGACACTTTTATATTCCATCATCTTAATGAATTACTTACACTAAGAGTGTGTTCACTTGGGGTCTGTTTGGTTGTAGTTTGAAATTGATTTGAAATGACGTGTTGATTTGAGTTTTTGTTTAATTAGTATTTTGATGTAATGTTTTGTAAGAGGAAATAATATATTTTTATTGAAAGCTGTTGATTTGAATTTAAAATGGTAGAAGAACAAACCCTTGGCGTGTGTGTTTTCTTTAATTATGCATGATTCACAAAAAATATTACAAAAATACAATATATACACATCACAAAAAAAGTAAACAAAAAACACAATAAATCAATAAAAAACTCAAACTATCATTCTATATGCTCCTCTGTCCCAAACCAAAGAGGCCATTTGGGGTAGTAGATTAAAATATAATAATATTTTATTGGTTAATGAAAGTGTATAAAATGATTTTGATATTTTTCTTGCTTGCCCTTTATGTATAAATTAATTGTATATTTAATGGTATGTTTGAAATTTATGTGAAAGTTAAAAGATAATTTTGATATTAGTGTTTGATTACTTTTACCATAATAAAAAATAATACTTTTAAGTGGAACGAACGAAAATGGTAAGAAGGTATTTTCAGTTGGGTAAGAGAGTATTATTTTTATAATTCTCTATACCTCACAACAAAAATACCTAAAACTATAAACACTAAACAAACACAAAACACTATTCAAAATTGTCTGCTCTAAAAAAAATATCACATCAAATACTTATTTTTCAATATAATATTATATAAAAAATCTCTCTTTCTCTCTCTCTTTATTTTTTTTTTTTCAAATTCAAAACACTAAATTTAATAACATCACATTAGATATCTATTTTTTATTCATTTTTTTACTATTCCAAAATAATCCAAGCCTCCTAAACATTTCTGGAACATATGTAAGCACATCACTTTTCCAAATTTCTTAAAAACTTGGAGTGCAATTTGTGATTTGAAAGTACAATAAGGGTGCGTCATTTCATTTAATTTGTACATATTTACTTATGCTGATTTCTCATGTTGATTAAAGTTAAAAGTTTACCACAACTTGTCTGGAACTACACACACATTTAGTCTCCGCACTCCAAAAAATGATCAGAGAAACAAAAATAATCCATCATTGGTAGCATTATTATGTCTTTAGTCACTAATTGTATGTATCTTACCTTGTTTTCTTTGCGTAAAAAGTCCACTTGAATTGGCACTTATAGATATGGCTTTCAATGCAGTTGGCGTGTTCTAATATCCATGCCTGCTGGAGAGGAGTTGGAGGCTCCTTATTCTTTGAAGAAAACTGAAGAAAGGCCTCTAGATCAGGTTTGCCCCTCTAGTTACTATAAGTCTGTAATTAGTATCTATATTTGGATTATATTTGTGCTTTCCATTAATTAGTCTTTTACTCTTTCTGAACTGCTTTCTGTTAACAAATTCAAAACTAAAGACACATTCACTTTTCTGTATGGACCTACAAATAATTGCATATTCTGACTTTTACATAAGTTGTATTACACCATTGTGTTTGTTTGGGGGTCTGGACTTTGAATTTGAATTAATGAGGATTTTGAAGTAAAGATTTTTAAGTAGTGTTTGTTTGGGGGTTTGAATTTTGTAATAATTATATTAGAAAAAATTATTATTTTATTAAAAAAAGATATATTGATATGATAGTTTGAATTAAATACTAATATTTAAATATGTGAGTAATGATAGAGAGTGAAATTTGATTTGATTTATATGAATAAAATTAAATATTTATTTTTTGAAATATGGCTTTTTTCTTTTTCTTTTTTTTTTCCTGTTTGCAAAAATACGTGTTTTTTTGTGAGAAGACGACTGTATGCATCATTTACAATACAAACAAACAATTTCTGATTGGAGAACAGGTAGGGGGAGGAAATATGGGAATCTTTTTCTCTGCAACAATTTACTGCCCAACAATTTCTAACCGCAGGACAGGTAGGGGGAAGAAATAAAATTGTAGGGTAGGATAGAGATTTAGAATTCAAAATCCATAGCATTTCTACAGTTGATATTCACTAAAATTCGCAAAACGAACACAGCGAGGGTTCATTTGTTAGGAATAATATCTTAACCTGTAGCTTTTGGGGCTAGTATTATACGATTTCTGTAGATTCATTAACAATAATAATTTTTCACTTGAATATTATTATAGGACTACAGTTTATAGAAAATTAAAGGAAACTAATTAGCTAAATTACCGGAAGCTAATTATATATAAAATAGGAAGTTGACTAATTAAACGCCTATCAACTCCTAATTTACAGCTACACACTTTTGACAAAGTAAATACTACATTTTCTACACTCCCCTTCCCTCCCCCCTTCAAGTTGGCTCACATATATCAGACATGTCCAATTTGTTTACAAACAAACCCAATGATGGTTTATATATCCCCTAGTCAGGATATCTGATGTTTGGTCTTCAAATGCAACAAAGAGAATACAATAAAGTTTACAAAATGTCTATCCATCTCAGTGTGTGATGTGTGGTAATGCTGAACTGGATTTTGAGCCATACTAATTGTTGCTTTATTGTCGCAAAAGAGTTTTATAGGCAACTCAAGCTCTAATTTCAGGTCCTTAAAAAATCTCTTGATCAATAGAATTTCAATAATGCTGTTTGCCATTGCGCTTCGGCACTACTGCGGGCAATATAAACTGACTTACCGTGCTTACAACAAATTTTGTGTTAGGTCAGTGTGAGATACATAGATCAATCTTCTCACTAGCTGTTGATATTGTTGCACATCTAGTGGTTTACTTCTTTGTTTTTTGCTAGGATCTTGTTAGGAATAAAACAAGAATAACAGTGTGTTCCCTAATTATCCTTCCTCAAACGGATAATTCACCAATATTTTATTTCATCCATAATCCCCAAAAGTCCTAAGGTAGGAATTTAGATGCCCTACTAAGCAATTCCAAATTTAGAAATAGAATAAATGCCAATAAATTGAAATTAAAGACAATAAATTAAAATTAAACCCAATAAATTGGAATTTGAAATTTGAATTTCAAATAAACTTAACCCTACTAAGCAATTCCAAATTCAGAAATAGAATAAATGACAATAAATTGAAATTAAAGATAATAAATTAAAATCAAACCCAATAAATTAGAATTTGAAATTTGAATTTCAAATAAACATAACCCAAGGAAAGTGGGTTCATGTCCGTCTTCGTCGACGGTAAACTTGCAAGGACCGACCCCTTTGCACCACATCAATTCCATCCCCCTTGGAAATAACCTAGTCCTCAAGGTTGAAGGCTGGGAACTGTCTTTGGAAGTCCGGACGAGATATCCAAGTGGCCTCATCGAGGGATTGCCCATGCCACTTAACCAACAGCTGTTCAACCGTGACCCCATCCTCTTGAACTACTCACTGTGCTAACACCTCTTCGGGCTAAAACACTGGTCCTATGGGCAATTCCAAACTTGGCGGTAAATTCCCTTCCACCGGATGATCGCCCACGACATGTTTAAGTTGAGACACATGGAACGCCGGGTGAATGTGGCTAGACGCCGGTAGCGCCAAGCGATATGCAGTTGGTCCCATGCGCTTCTTCACCAAAAACGGACTATAAAACTTGGAGTGAGCTTATGGTGAGATTTTCCAGCCACCGAATATTGGCGATGTTGACGAACTTTCAAAAAAATCTTATCCCCCACTTGATAATCCACCTCCCGACGTCGCTGATTAGCAAATTTAGACATTCTCTCCAAGGACCCTCGCAATTGGCGCAACATCACATCTCTACTGCTCAAAGCATCGGCTACTGCGGAAACCCGACATTCACCTGGAAGAAACCGTTGAATCGTTGGAGGGACCTTACCATAGACAACCTTAAATGGAGTAATCCGAGCTGGAGTCTGGAAGGCTGTATTGTACCAATACTCCGCCCATGAAAGCCAGCATTGCCAATGTGTCGGTTGCTCACACACGAAACAACGCAAGTAAGTCTCTAAGACCCGGTTCAACACCTCCGTCTGGCCATCCGTTTCCGGATGATAAGAAATACTAGACTTAAATCTCGTCCCCGATAATGTAAACAACTCATTCCAGAAACTACTCAAAAATAGTGAATCCCGATCACTAACAATTGATCGAGGAATCCCATGTAACCGGACCATCTCTCTTGTGAACAATTCCGCCACCGAACGGGCTGTGATAGGTGGACGGATAGCTAAAAAAATGCCCATACTTAGACAATCGGTCCACTACTACCAAAATCGCAGTACACCCTTTCGATTTAGGTAAGGAAGTAATGAAGTCCATCGAAATATCATCTCATATCATTTCCGGAATAGGCAGCGGCTGAAGTAATCCCGCCGGCGACAATGCTTGATATTTTACTTTTTGACATACCAAACACTGAGCCACATGGCGTTGTATGCGGCCGAACATGCCCCGCCAATAAACATTCATAGCACGGCGTCGGTAGGTGTGAAATATACCTGCATGTCCCTCGACAGGCGAGTCATGGAATTTCTCCAACAATTGAGGAATCCACTTGGAGTCGAAAGCCAGCACCAAACGTTCTTTGTATAATAGCCGTCCCCCCCATTAACTCAAAACCCAGATGGCGCGTCGGATCCACTTTTAGTGCTTTTCGGATTTCTTGTAAATACAGGTCTTGCGTTTGTTCCTTGCATACATCCTCTAACCCCAACCATTGAGGCCCGCCGACGATGGTCAAGGATGTTTTCTTAGCCCTTCTCGAAAGAGCATCTTCCGCCGCATTAGATACTCCATTCTTGTATTCAATAACAAAATCATACCCAAGCAACTTCGCTACCCAAACTTGTTGCGATGAAGTCGCCATACGCTGGGTAAGCAGATGTTTCAAGCTTCGATGGTCCATCCGCACCACAAAATGTCGTCCGATCAACTAGGGCTGCCAATGCTCTACGGCCAAAGCTAACCCCATCATCTCACGCTCATAAGCCGATCTAGAGAGGGTACGATCTGTCAACGACTTACTATAATAAGCAATGGGTCGCCTCTTCTGCATGAGTATGGCCCCTACACTCACACTCGAAGCGTCACATTCCACGACGAATGGACGATCAAACCGAGGCATCGCCAGTACCGGAGCCTCAGTCAAGGCCTTCTTCAATTGCTCAAAGGCCTTTTCTGACGCAAAAGTCCATACAAAAATGACAAGATGCTTCTTTCTTCAAGAGGGTTGTGAGGGGCCGAGCAATAAGACCATACTCCCTCACAAACTTGTGATAATAACCGTTAAGACCTAAAAATCCCCGAACCTCTCGTACCGATCGAGGTCGCGGCCAGTTGACAACTGCGCTCATCTTTGTAGGATCCATCGCTACTCCGGCACTTGAGATGACATGCCCCAAATATTCGATTTAAAGGCAACCAAATGCACATTTTTTCTAGTTGGCTCGGAACTAATGCGTGGCTAAAATGCGAAGGACTACTCCCAACTGTGCGCGATGTTCTTCCCACGATCTACAAGATATCATCGAAGAAGACTAGCACGAACTTGCGTAAGTACGGCCTAAACAATTCGTTCATAGTTGATTGGAAGGTTGCCGGCGCATTTGTCAATCCAAATGGCATAAGAAGGAACTCATAATGTCCACTATGCGTCCGAAACACCTTTTTATGGACATCCGAGTCTGCTGCTCTGATTTGATGATATCCCGAGCGCAAGTCAATCTTCGAAAAAACTACCGCATCCGGCAGTTCATCCAACATTTCCTGAATTACGAGAATTGGGTTGTTAGGCACCGTAGACTTATTTAATTCGCGGTAGTCCACACAAAATCTCCAACTACCATCTTTCTTTTTTGACCAACAAAACCGGGCTCGAAAATAGACTTGAAAACGGTTGGTTGATCTCCGCACGCAAGATCTCCTCCACCAACCTCTCTATCTCATCCTTTTGGGCGTGCCCATAAGGATAAGGGCGGACCGATACTGGCTTCGCACCTGGGGCTAGCTCAATCCGGTGGTCCGTCACGCGGCTTAGAGGCAAACCCTTTGGTTCTTCGAACACCACCGCATGCTGTGAAAGCACCTCGTCTAATGCTTATGAATGTTCCTCAGTCAATTTTGCAGGCGCTCCCTCTAGGAGGACTGCCCAAAGTTCGGTTTCCGATGTCTTGACTAGTGTTTTCAGGCTTACCAAATTCCGACACAACGCCAGGTCCCCCCTTAGCTCCACTCGACCGTTAGTTCCCTTTAAGCTCATGGAAAGCTCCGCCCAATTATGGACAATATCTCCAAGTGTGGCGAGCCACGCAATACCCAAGATAACGTCCAAACCCTCTAAGGGA